GGGGGATAGAGTGAGAAAAGAGGAACCCAGCCTGGATATGGCTTCACCATACTTATTATTGGACATTGAAACGGACTTCTGTTCTGAATAGAGTTTCGACCCAATCAGCAAACAATAGACGATATCATAATGGTGGCTAAATAGACATATCAAGCCAGAGTTACAGTATCCACATGAAGAAAAATCCTGATGTTATCATCGCCAAGAAATGTATTATGCCTGGAGTGCGATCCCCTGACGGCTGGCGACCTCATCCACATGAACGCCAAATACTAAGCGATAGAGATCCCGCAGCCAAGGATATTGACTGCCCTGGGTCGTCACTTGGACAGCCCTTGCTATATCCGCAGCATTCGAGCGCGGTCTGAAGTCAATATTGCGGAATGCAGGGTCAAGAGCCAGAAGACTCTTATAACTCTTCAGAAGTGAAATTTGCCAGGGTGCCGATCCAAACGCGTCCGATGAAAGCGTCTTCACGAAGCTTGCTAGGCTCTGTGATTTTTCGGGCTGAAATCCGCTATCAACCGCAGCCTTGGTTAGTAAAGCCTGTATGCATGCCAGGGTCGTATCATTTAGCGACGTTCTTATAGTATTTGTCGAAGATGTTTGCCCGGAAGCCTGGCTGATTTCCGAGACTGTTGACGAATTCGAGGACCATCTTGTGTGCACAGATTGATCGGCATCTTTTCCCAAGACAAAAATGTTCTGGACTGGGGCGTCGTCGGGCGAAATGGTAGCAGTCTCATCGAAAATGGTTGTAGGAGTTTCGGGATTGCCTCGACGGCGCAGCCCTTCATCTGCAGCAGCGATTTCGGGTTGGCCGGCCTGCTGCATGCCATGGATGAAAGTGGCCTGACTCGGTCGTGGAGTTCCACGATCTGAGTAACGCAAGCTACGTTGCGTCCATCCCTCGCGAAAAAGATCACAGAGTTCCCAGCAAGCCTGCACAGCGGAGCCAAGCATTTCTTCGTTTATCGGCCTCCCCTCCCGTTTACCTTGGCGGATTGTGAACAGCATCTCCGCCAGGGACCAAGAAGCCTTCAAAAGGGAGTCAGTCTCCGAGACACGAGTCCTCTGTTTCATGAGACGATGACAAAGGGTGATATAAAAGTCCAGCGTCCTTTCCCTGAAAGCATCTGGTAGATGCCGATCATGCGTGTTGTAAAGATGATTATTTAATTCGAAACTGACCCGAAGCACTGAATCCGCAAGCTCGTTGTCACGGGTGCGGATTTCAAATAAAGTCAGGCAGAATTCACGACACAAATCTAACGTCAGCTTGACCTGTGATACATACTCGTCTTTCTGACTCTCGTATAACTCCTGACACAGTTTCCAGCATGACGTCCATGCATTTTCTTGCATGCGGCCAGTGCCAGCGTAGTCGGCAGTACGCCCGCGATGAATATGGCTCAGTTTGGCCAATGTATTACAGAGCGTCCAGCATTCCGCGAGCGCTGTTTTGAGAGCTTTGATCTCGGCCTCACCATCGAAAAGATACCGAACGGCGGCTTCTAGCGTGCTTGACCCCCCCTCTACTGTGTCAGTGACACCTTCAGTTTGAAGAACTCGAGGTATATTCGGATGCACAAAGATGCTCGGTTCATAGAATGTAGAGTCCCTAGATGTATGTTGTTTTGGGGGCGAGATTTCACCGTCAAGAACACTCGGCTGAGACTGGAGGTCAATGTCTTCGAAATCCTGCCTTGTTTGTGCTCGAGGGGTTGCTCGTTCTGACCAATCTTTCGCAGGTTCAATAGAAGTCGTTAAAGGAGACGGCGATATAGAGCTGGCAGAATGCTTCTACAGCGAAGTCAGTCGCTGCTAGCTTGTGAATTGGAAGCGACAAAGCACCTTCCCCAATTCGTCGTCTCTAACCATCGATGGTGTTATCTTAGCCAAGTCGCTGGGCGATGATGCCGTAACTGAGTTGATCAAGCTGTCGGAGTCGTCGTAGGTGCCAAACTTCTAGAACAAACACGGTTTTAGCAACCAGGTAACAACCCACGGATCGTCTAATATGACCCTTACAAATTGGCGAAAGCCGGGAGGTGCATGTATCACAGACTGTGGAGCATCTTCCTCGTTCGCTCGTGGCTTGGGATCGGCAAGAGAAGTCTGTTTTGTTTGTATCTTTATTTCGATAAAGGTCAACAACGACTATCAACTCTCTCAAGCCTAAATAGTACGTACCCTGAGTTCGGGCTGGTCGGTGGTGTGAGCTATTCGCGGCTGATGCTTAGTGGAGTTAGATGCAAGTGGTCGTTGCGAGTCATAAATGTCAGTGCCATCGTGCTCTACGGTGTCCGTCTGGTTGTGTGATGGGATCGTTAGTGAAGTGTCCAAAATATCGATGGTCTCGAGGCCATGTTTGGCAGGGCGATCATCAAAGGACCTGATCTGTTAGCATATACAAGGTCACTCGACGGAGATCCTTTCTGGTGCTTACATCCTGAAGGAGCCACTGTGCTTGTGTCTAGTATTCTTTGAATCTGCCAATCGGCTACAATGGAGTGCCTCTTTTTACGGGCAACCTCAAAGCAGTAGTACTGCAACAGCAAAGAACATGGTACGGCCATTTTGGGCTTAGCTGCTGGTGATCTGTACATCTGATCTTGGACGGTGAGGCTGTGCTACGTAAAGAATCTCCCCGCTTTGGTATGATATAGGTGCGCCTATACTTATTTTGTAAGGGTCCAGGCCAAAGTGTGTTGAAATTTAGCTGTTATTATTTAATGTTCACTCATCAGAGTAGCAGGTCCATGTTAAGCAAACTGGAATATCATGACATTGCTGTCAGAGTGTAGTAGTACTATACCTCTATCTCCTTTTGAGATAATCTTTACAGGTGCATACCTACTCTGTAGCAAACACCTAATAATGAGTAATTAAGGATTTAAGGGGTGAATGGCTACGTCTAGGTCAGCTTGGACATTCTTAACAAACAATAAGATATGTCAGAGACTCTCTTTGATACTCTGTGACTGCTAGGCATTGGAACATTCACAATCAATTATTGTCTTATCCTTATTTAAGAATGCTGATGATATACACTTTGTGGACACATGCTCAAGGGGCATTATCATCACCACCATCATCACTATTATCATCATTGTTATCATTATTATTGATTTATAAGGTATCTGTTATTGTAAACTAACTGAGATCTACTGTAACTTCCAGTCTCAATCCAAACATTGGTGTTTATAGTGAGTATCTATTCAGCAAGGACTTTACTACCTCTTTCTTTTTTCTACTTAATCCATCGTCAGAATACAGAATTCACATGTAAAATTGCCCGAATGCAAGGTAGTATTTCAGCTGCTTTAGTCATGATGAGCCATGCTATCAACAGTACGTAGTCGCATACATGATATAGAGAAGCTTTAGGGCTACTGCGCGGCAGCCAGCGATATAACCGATCAATATTTTCACTTCTGGGCGAAAAATGAGACTGGCGGTGAACAAGTCATACTCATAACAGGCTGTAAAGTTGGCCGCAATCAAAATATGATTGGGCCAGATTGTATCCTTGGAACGAAGTGTCTGGGGCATTCTATACATTCTCTCAAAATAGGAGCTCAACTAAGATTGCATGTGCAAACCATTGCTCAAGCTTGAGTCATCACTATTTCGCAGTCAAAATAAAGACGACCCAGCATTCAGAAATCACCTTGAATGCAAGAAATATGATAGATCGCCCGATATTACCCATTATGCCTCAACGCTGACAGCACAAAAGCGTGAAGGCGACTCAAATAAGACCCATCCGAGATGCTAAGCCATTACAATTCAGATTATCCACACGATCGACAGGCAAAGTAGCAGAGAACCAGAGAATTGAGGAAGTGTGATCGATGCCCGCAGACGAGGGGAGATAAAAGTTCCACTTTACTTCTCCTGTACCTTGCATTTTCGGATACTGTCGGGTCATGAACTCAGAAGTAGGCGCGGCCATCACGGTCATCACGGTCATCGAGAGGCATGATAGCATTAAAGTGACAGGTAGGATGGGAAAAAGTCGGTACTGCCAGTGAAACGTGACTAGCAAGGTCTCGCACTATGGGTGTAACCCAGTCCTTCTGTCAAATCGGCTGGGCAGATGGAGCTGGAGATATTGAGGGCGTGTATCCACAATAGATTCAACAGCCAGAAGCAGAAAAATCATATTTGAGATTTTGCCCGATCTCTTTCAGCAGGATTGTACCTATCAGAAGAGTATAAGCTTAGCTGCATGCGAAGCCAGGATCATATACACTCACCGAAGAAGCTTTTCAATAAGGTCAACGTGTGTCATGATCATTCTGCGGCAACAGTATCTTTTGCAACCAAGCTGATCCATAGCATCACTTCACAGAATCTATCAGCAAAGTAATTTGATTTAAACAGTGAACAGGTTGAACGGAAGGTCAACCTACCCGTCTGGAATACCCTCGTCAAGTAGTTGTAAATAACGTTCCCAAAGATCACCGACAACCTGTTTTAGAAATCTGTGAGTGACAGCAAGCAGCTTGTTAAAAAGATCAGGTTTACCTTGCCACAAGAAAAGCAACGAACAGGGATAATCATTGGCTTAGCTGTGTATGCTGATGTGACTATGAGAAAAGATTAAGGAAAATGCAAAGTGAATGAGAGGCCAGTATAGGACACAATGTAGAATGAGGAATGGTATTGCTTTATTGGATCCTGTTATGATAGTTGCAGAGACTGAACAGAAGAACATCAATATCCTACTAGAAATGCGGATATATGATTTTGCATTTTCCCCCCAGACGATTACTGTTTTAGGAAATAGACTAACCTTATACATACTAGCCTCGAAATAGAAGAGATCGTTGGTGGGACCCAAAAGTTTCAAAAGGAAAAAAAAAAAAAGGAAAAGGGAAAGAAAACAAGCTACGGAGTACCATGACTCTTCATATCGAACTACCTCACGGAATCTCTGAGAATCATTGTAACGGTCTGAATTAAGCCGCATTATCTTGAATTTCGTGTCCTGGACCGTACTTTCGTCGATTTCACTTACATTACAATGTCAGGCTCGAGTCTCGCAACAGGACATGCAAAAAGATCCAGGACGAGCGATGCACTGCGCACTGAGAAGGATAGAATCAAGCGTCGTCGATTTTCCAAGGGCGTACTTGATGTTACTGAAGACGTACAATTAGCTGCTAAAGGAAATACGAGTGAGAATAACACTCAGAATACCCTTTCTCTCACACAAGATACTTCTGCGCATGGTCGTGAGCAGCAGTCGAAATTCTCCCGCGAAAAATGGTGTCTTTCAAGTCCAGTTGGCGGGCAGTATAGCAATCTTAACCCGATTATTACTGCGGATGAAGAGTGAGTGACCTCAAGAGTTAATGCGAAGGCTTCCTTATTATAGCGACAGCTCTAAGTGGTTTATTTCTAGGTATCTCCTTGTCGGGACTGAGACAGCAATTCATGTTCATTCGATTGGGACCTCTTGCCGGTCTCGTACATTACAGTTGAAGGATGGTCAAAAAGTCGTTGGTTACAATCTTTGCTCTGAAAACCCGCAACATCTTTATATCATCACTTCCACTGGTTGGGTGAGCAAGTGGGATTGGCTTTCTGGAGATCAAATTGCTTCTTGGGATTTGGCCAGAGAGACACTTCTTGCTGAATTATGCTCTCCTGAGTTCGCAAAAATCAGGTCTGGACTTCTCTTTTCTCTGCGGGGGCGCAAGGACGGAAAGAGGCAAATCACAATCACCTTATTAAATGGCGAAGCACCGCGCGACGTTGTTGTCTTTGAAACGACCCAACGAATAGACAATTTCAGGGTTTTCAGACAGGGACAAGCGATAGTCGCATGGGCTGGTCAGCGCCTTCTGCTTGGCACCAGGGAGTTTAACACGCCAGACCTGTCAACTCTGCAGTACACCTGGAGGGAGGTCGTTCTGCCCGTCCGTGTCACTTGCATTGATATTCGAGAGAGCAGTGCACCAAATCGAACAATATCAGAGGGCTCGCACGATAACAAGCTAGAAACGATGGACCTTGTTTTGGGTGAATCTGGTGGCTCGGTCTTAATCTATCTTGACTTTCTTGCTCTTTTCCCTACTGATGGCATTGGCTCAGACGATAGTAAGGACCTGGCTCCTCGACGGCTGCATTGGCATAGAGGTCCCGTCAATGCAGTCCGTTGGTCAAAGGATGGTATGTACCTACTCTAGCCAGCACAATTAAGGAAACAGCCCCGTTAACAGGATTCAGGTAACTACATAATTTCAGGCGGGGATGAGTCAGTCATGGTGCTATGGCAATTGGACACGGGACGCAAGCAGTTTTTACCTCATCTCTCGTCACCTATTTGCAATCTAGTCGTTTCCACAACTGGGAAAGCATACATTGTTAAGCTTGCTGACAACTGTATCATGGTGCTGTCCGCGACAGAGCTGCAACCTTATGCTACTATCACTGGCCTACAGCTTTGCCCCAAAGCCAACAACAAGCCCACCGATGCAACTCTGGCAGAGTCGCGTATCTTCTTTCAACCTCCTGCAGCCGTATTGCACCCACAATTCCCTGATCGGCTTCTAGTGGCGGTACCAGCTTCGCGTCATGCCAAACGGGATTATCATTCTGTTACGAGTTCGTGCGTGCTACAGACGTACGATATCCGCACCAACTCTCAAATATCCAGACAAGCCCTTGCACGGACCAATGCGACGACTTTGAGGATCAGTCCAGAGGGGACCGAAATTGTTGCTCCGGACGTCAGCCACCTTGACATATGTCAGGATGGAAAGTGGATGGCGACGATCGATGACTGGATACCGCGCCCCGAAGATATCAGGGCTCTTGAACCGAACAGCACTCCGACAGGCAGCCATACGGTTTATCGGGAAACATACCTCAAGTTTTGGAGATGGAACGAATTGTCCAATATGTGGGAGTTAGCCACACGTATCGACAGTCCTCACTCCTTCGACTGCGCTTCGGTGCCCATTCTGGATCTCGCGTCCAGACCGTACAGTCATGAATTTGCAACAGTAGGTTGTGATGCCGTGCTCCGCTTCTGGTGCGCGAGTAACAGGCCCCGCCTGGGATTGGAAACAAAACATCCAGAACACCAATATCAGACCTGGAAATGCCGAGGTACTATCGACTTAAAAGGCCAATTTATTGTTGGCGAAACCGAGCCTGCAAATGCAGCTTGTATGGGGTTTTCAGAGGACGGGTCGGTGCTTGCTATTTGCATGCAAACCAGATCCAGTCCGGACTCCGGCCTCGTTGTTCTGGTGGATATGCAGAATTGCAAAATTCACCACAGTAGGGTAGGGGTTTACTCGGGTCGTCCGTGTGCGGCCAGATTCTTGGGGCGCTATCTTGTTGTTCTATCACAGCATTCGGCGCATATCTGGGATACAGTTGGCGATATAGTCAGAACGACCACGTCATCAGCCGTTCAGGATGACACTCTCTCCGACGATCAACTTCTGGCAGTGAGCTCAAAGTCGCAAACCTGTGCCGTTGCCACGAAAGTCCCACAACATCTGGGCGGAACCAGAAGAACAACCGGATCTCAGTTCGATATACGAGTCTATGATGTGCAGACCTTGTCCCTGCTTACTCGACAATCCTTGAAGCATTGTCCGGTATCCCTACTTTCAGATCCACTCACTGGGGATTACATCATCGTTGATGCCATGGCCAATGTGCAACGCCTCAGTTGCTCAGATAAAGCTCCTCAATCAATACCGCAATCCAAGGATGGCACATCTCACAATCACGGGATTGGGAGCTTATTTGGAATACGGTCTCGCGACATCAGTCGGCATCCTCGTCTTCAAGCGCGACCTCTTGCAGTCAGCGGAAGCTCTTCAGCTCTGCAGTCAGCTGGGCTACCCGGAGTCTTTAGTGATATTCCCCCATTTGTGTTGCCTCCCACTAGTGTTCTCTTCAAAAGTGTGGTGCAAAATCTTACAACTTGAATGAGCAGACCAGAAGGCAATGTACTTTATTTCTCAGTACGGCACGGGTAACTTTTTGTTCTAATTTGCTGTCCTCGCTGCCATAGTTGACAAGTGTCTTTATACGATGTTCCTTGGTGGTCTGCATATGTGCACCACATATATCAACAATCAGAACTCGCTATAAACATAAAATGTAGATGGACCGGACAGTTGATCAAGGCTCAAAGCTTCAGATACTCCGTGATACGTCATCCCATTAATGTTTACTATCACATTCAATCTCCATGGATAATTTCAATTTATGTCACTCAACCACATGTTCAATAAAACAACACCAGGTTATAGTGGAAATTTCCTTTCCTTAAACAAGATAGCATGAAGGTCAATTTAGAGATGACGAGGCAGAATGAGGCAGGGCACAATCGACTAACGAATGGCTCCCGACTTAGAGCCAAACAATCGATCGATCCGTCACCCTTTTGTGTATTGTGCCCTTGTAGGGCCTAAGCTAAGCGACAGACAAAGTATGCTCTCCGCCCATGTACATGCGTCAAATAAGCGTCGAGTTCATTGTCATCATGGATGTTGAAGGTAACTTCATTTTCATGCTCATCCTGATCGAGTCCCTGAATTTTCGTAACGATGGAACCGGGATACCTAGAAGCAACGAGCTGGCGTAACTCAGCGACGGATTTGGCTGATAATTTCTCGACGCAGGTTTTAGACTCCCCGTGAACCTGGTCTGGAGGATTAATTCGCACATAGATCGGCACTTGCAGCGTAGTTGACTCTTGAATAGGGTCCACGTATCCAAAAGGATTCCCGTTTTCATGAGATGTCGAGGTAAAGGAGTTATCATTTGCCGCTTGCAGAAGCGAGGGATCTATTTGCATATCATTTAAGTCGCCCGACGTCATCGGGGCGCTGGCGAGAGCTTGCGATGCAAGCGTGCTGATACCATTAGTAATGCTACTGCTGAATGCACTATTGTCATGGGTGCCGGCAGCGCCTGGACTGGGAATATTGGTGCGAGTAATAGACTTCTTCCGAGAGGGATCTCGTTTGGTTTGGTCATCACGAAGTCGCTTCATAACATCGCGACAGAGGACCTCGAGAGCTTTCAATTTCGTAGCATGCTGCGGATCTGCCGAGCCAGGGGCAAGGATACGTTGCAGCAACTCGGTCTCTTGAATCCAACGCTCCTTCAGTCGCTTCCAATGTTCGTCGCCAGCCTCCAACTTGCTAGTAAAATGATCCGCTTTTAATGTGTTGTAAAATGCGTTTCGAATCTGGCGGCTTTCTTCGGGATTGATCCCAAGGGCGTTTTTAGCTTCCGCGATTGTCATTCGCCTTTCTAATGTCCTCATCCGTTTAGTGACATCTGTACAAACAACATCGAGAGCGAGGGCTTTGGCATCAAGCTGATTGGGATCTTCCCAGAATACCCGCTGAAGATGTTCTGACTCTTGTATTAGTCTGTTTTTCGCTTCCTGCCATCTTTCAGGACCAGCAGCAGTTTTCTTGATGAACCCTGCCTCTTCGCATATCTTTTGAAACTGATCTCTTATATGACGGTATATAGCATTGTCTAGACTCAAGTATTTCTTACTCTCATCGATTGTGGTCTCGGAAGGAAAGCGCGGCGGCCCAGGCGGGTCGGCCGGTAGTCCAGCCCATTCCCGGGTGCGCCGACGCCGTTTCCTGGAAGCCCAGCGTTCAGCACTCTCTGCTTTCAAGCGTTCAAGTCTCTCTTGGCGCTTCGCGAGTACATCAGCTGATAAGCTAGGCGATGGAGGCCGCATGACTGGTGAATCGGCAGGGAGATTCTGAGCGTCGTAGAAGGGTTCTGCGGTCTTGTATACTTCCTGTTGGAGTGCTAGTAGTCCCTCGTCTTCCGGTAGCTGCACAGATGGTCGGACAGTCGCTTGCGACTTCATTCCATTGGGAACACGGAGTAGCCAGCGATTCTTCGCGCGCACCCGCATCAATTCTCTTTCTTTAATCTCGAAGCCTTCTTCATTCAAGACACGCAGCATGTCCCGTTGGCTTGTATTTCGCTCCCAAAGTTGTTTGACGCGAGCGACAAGCTCTGCATTTTTGTGGGCCGGATTCTGTTTGGAAGGAAAGCCCCATCGCTTAAACTGTGTTTGGAAGGCGCGCTTACTGTTGGACGTAGTTCTTAGCCAAATGTGAATGATAAATGTATTCGATTCTTGTGTCTCCAAGAATGGGCGACGAAGAACATAATCAAAATGACCATGTGGCATACCTGGGTGAGAATTGATATACATTTCGCATGTATTCCATAATTTCCTCCAGCGCTTTCTTATCTTTGATGTACATCTGATAGCATATTTCTCGCTTGCCCTCCCAATCGTACACCATGACGAGAGAGTTTTGGTGAGACGCTCCCCCCACAGTGGAGGTGCGCCTCAGGAAACGGATCTGATACCAGTAAGAGTGATAATGGGAGCCGATAGGACAATGGGACGAGAAAGGCGCCTGTTGTCGCTCCTGCGGACCGTAGTCGAACGCTGCCGCTGTAGTATGTTGAGCTATTTGGCACGCCGTAGAATAATCCAAAGTCTGGCTGCGTAGAGGCCGCTTATGCGCAATTTTATGGTAGCACTCACGTGATTGGCCACTTTCATGCTCGCCTTACAAGGAGATTGCTGCTAACCTTTTACATTGAGATACGACCCATGGCAGACAGCAAGGCAGAGCATTCGAATTGGTTTCAACTCATGATAGTCTCATACGATCAGTGGGGATCGCACCAATGACCCAACTAAGCGGGTGATCCTCGATTATAGGTAGAGTAAATTGATTCTATCAAAGGCAAGCCTTCACACGACCTGAATTCCGTATTGTGGCTCCACTATGATTGGGACATTTGATAGTATCAGCCCAAATTTCGGATTTTCCTGCGCATCTTGAAGACCCTAGTCCGTAACCACGTCAAAAATAACATCCAAGCCGTCTTGGATTCTGATCTCCAAGAGCCTGGATTCGATTTTCGCTGTGGCACATCCTGGGGAGAATCTAATTCTTCAGCGGCACTCGACTTCTCAGATAGCCCATTCTCGGGGAATGGTTCCTGCTTGTCCGCAACTGTAAGTGATGTGTGCCAGGGTTGTTTTCCCTTGCGTTTCATTTGTTTCTCTTCAGCCCTCAGTTGCTGTTCTTCAAGCTTGCGTGCTTTGGCTGCTTCTTTTTCCTCAAACGCCTGACGTGCTGCTTGAATTGTAGCGGCACGAGATATAGGATCCATGCTTGTTCGTGTCTTTGATCGGAAAACGAACTCTAAAGATGATCGCGAGACTGGTGACGTTGCTTCAAGGGAACTGCTGTTGTCTCGTGAATAGCCAAAAGATGTTCGTCCGGTCAAATTCGTTTGTGATATACTAGGCAGTCTTGTGAACGAACTATCATGCATCTGTAATGAATGTCGCGGTGCCTGTGCAGAAAGTCCACGAACCGAAGATCGAAATGGTTCAGATTCTGCCTGAGCGGACCATTCTGGCTCAGTTGAGACCCTTCCTTCAAATCCCTCGTTTTCAACGAGAGATGTTTGACAGGACTGACTTAATTGCGGTGTATAGGCACCAGGGACTTGGCGGATGGGGTGAACGCAATGCAAGTTGGGCTTGCCCATGCCTGGGCTGCTCGCCGTAGAGAAATTTGGTGTTCCGCTAATAGATTGGGTATGCAATGAAACAGTCCTCCTGGCTGCAGGTTTAGTGTGAGTGTCGCTTCGACGGTCTCGTCTCCAAGAATTCCTGGATATTTTGAGCCCTTCTTGCTCAAAGGACGACCTTGAGAGATCAATCGACATTGTTGATGGGATATTGCGAGGTAACTCTGCGAGTAAGGGCATGATTTCAAAACTTCAACCATGTGAGGCCCCAATGCTTGGGTGATTATTTGGATTGTCGATATGAGTGAATATCGCCCTTCGAACAAAATGACGGAATCTGAAACTCTTCATGCATTAGGTGATGGGAAGGAATTCTTGAAGATCGCTCAGTTGGGCCGAAGGGTGAACTGGCAATGTAGTATCATGGCGAAGTGACCCGAACCAATCTTCCCAATGCGCTGTCGTCAAATATGCATGAAAAGGCTTGAAAGGCAAAGAGAATCAGGTGGCCCTAGGCCTCCGACCTTATTGAATCTCGAAATTGACTGAGTTTATTTGCAGCAAAGTGACCTTCTGCATGTGCCAAACGAATGCGAGGTCAGAAAAACCACCTTTCCTGTTCCACGAGAGCGCCCTGACGACAGTCTCCTTGGACCGCATGAGACAATATATGCTCAATGATAGGTCAAGGAATTCATGGCCGTCTCAGAGCACACCGAGTAGCCAGGTAAGTGCAAGTAGGGCAAGAGAAAGCCGTTGTAACGAAGCTGATATTTGAAGCTCGTAGTACTATTTGATATCTACTGGAGTTGAACCGGGAGAGTAGCGGGGTAAGATTATGTATGAAATCGGCCGGACCAGACCATCAGCATCAATCAGAATTGGTGAAGCTGAAAACAAGAAATGCAGACCGAGAGTCTATGGTCAGATTGAATAATGAGGAAGTGATGAAACTGAAAGTCGATATGTAGTTAATCTGAGCAATTGGGCACTGCTCAGCCACAGGTCTTAAGACCAAAAGGGCTCATGGAACAGGACACACTGTGGATTTATCGGAAAGACGGAGGAGTGGTTTCCCGGACAAGGCTGGGAAAACGTGTACATACAATACTCGTACAGAGTACAGTACTCCGTACAGCTGACTGTACAATAATGTATCTACCTTACCTACTTACCTAGGTAGTAGTATGGAGTAGCCTATGTAGTAAGAAGTAAGCCTATGCGAGAGAATAGTCATTATCGTCTCATCATACCTAGGTAGGTACCTGCCTGGGTAAGCTACCTACTACTAGTAGGCTGGTAGGTAGGCTGGTAGGTACTTCAGCTTTTGTGCAGGTACGGCAGTGAAGTAAGGTAGGTATGTACTCTGGGCAGGTCCACGGTGACAAGGGAGGGTGACGGGAAACAGGACGAATACGGAGTAATAGAACACATATCTACTCCGTCCTACCTAGATAGAGAGGTGGAGTACGGAGTAGATACTAACAACACATTGCCATCTAATAACTACCAGGCTGTGAGTACGGAGTACTGTATTTCCGTATGGAAAAGTTGAGGTACCTTTAGTCTGTGGATACTACTCCGTACCTAGACTACTGGTTATTCGACCGGTGGCTGGGACATGCCTGGCCACTATTTGCAAAGTGTGGAGTAGATTCGGAGATAGTACGAAGGGTACGGAGTAAGGTACCTATTTCTTAGGTACAGTCTGCTTGGCGCCGGATGCGGATGGCCTCTTTGTTAAAATATTATCACCATAACTACCTTAAGTACTCCGTATGGTAGGTATGTAATCTTTTTGCTAAGGAGTACATCGTCCAGACACTTTTCTAGTCTAGCGGTATTGGATTTTAATACCTTTATGGTGTAGGTACCTTATATAAAGTATCCGCTCCGTAGCCTCCAACACCCGGTATGTCCCTGGACCTTTCACCTTAGGTAATAACTAGTTATTACATAATAACATAGGTACTTAGAGTCTCTGGCCCTTGATGCTCCGTACGGAGTATTATAGATTATCATCACTACCTATCCTCAACTTCTCAAGACGCTGGTACAAGCTCATTAGGTAGCTATTATCATGATTATTATCATGATTATTGGTCTTCCCATCACTATTACTAAGGTAGGTAGGAAGTCCCTAGACTCCACTTGCTTAACAACCAATAATGGCTCATAAATTCCCTGTTTACCTCCACAGAGCGCTTAGTACCTCTCTATTTACTATCTATTTATTGGCAGTTATCAACCTGTCGGTGCTGCCAAGAGGTTAAGCACTAAACAGCTCTAAGGGCCTGTCCTATCATTATATGCCGCCAAGAGTCCAATCTGGGACTCGAATGATGATAGGGTTCTTCATCCTGACCAAAGATGAATCACTCCACTCTTGCTGAGGTGCTCATCACTTCCATTTCTTGCCCAAGGCTTGAATCAAAACCTATGGCGGGGTACTCATCCTATTCCCTCCCCCTCCTTGTCCAGCCACAGACCAGGACCTGTTGAATATAATCACCATCTCCCTAGCCATTTCTCCTAGAGGAAAATCCTTGTCACGAAGGGATTGTGGCAATACCGGGGTTTATCTTGCATACTCGCTCATAAGTGTTGTTTGAAATCCGGATCTCTGGCACCTGGCTTTTAACCGACACTAGCCATGGGGGTGAGCGTTCAGAGCCTGAGCCTTTCCATTCTGCTCCTGTTATTGCTGTCGGAGAAAGCCCATGCCTTCGGTGCTGGCAATATCGCATCGATTTCGCAAGTCGAGGGTCAAAATTGGCGCCATGGCGATATTGAAGATACCTTGTTAACTTTGTTCTTGGCCCGTGCTGCCGGTGGCCGTAAATTCAGCAAGCTCGATGTGCAGCGCGTATATTTTGGAAATTGGCTTCGCGATTACAGCCAAGCTGTGGATGTCGGCACCCTGAAATATGTTAGTGCCGAAGCTATTCGCATCCTGATATGGGTTCTGGGATTCCTTAGTTTTGGGTAAGCCGTCAACATTTCCAGGCATTGCGGCAGTGATCACTTGCTGAAGAAGCGTCTGCAGCTACGGAACCAGAGAATTTGAGGTGACCACAGAACGCCTAGGTTGCTATGAGCCTACCGAGCATATCGATAATCCTCTCGGTTATGCCGAAGGGGAGGACGCACGACGCTATGATCGTCGATTGAGAGGCCCTGTTGACGAGGAGCGCGAGCTGTCGGTCGATCCCAGGACAGGTGGGAAAACTTGCCTTTCCAACTGAACACATAGCCCGACTGACGTAGTCAAACCCATTACATCTAGGCCTGAAAAACTACATAGCTAGTGAAGATCTCGGCATTGGGACTTCTGCGGGACTGGTCCGCAGAGTTTTTAGACGTTCGGTTGAGCTGGGACGGCGGTATGCAAGATCTCATAATGATGATGATCTGCATGAGGCTCTTCGTTTGCTTGGCACTGGCCTGCATTGCTTGGAAGACTATGCAGCACATTCCAATTACACTGAACTGAGCCTTATTGAATTGGGAGAATCGACGGTCTTCCCCCATGTGGGTCGCAACACCAAAGTTGAAGTTGACGGTGCACAGGATTACGTCTATCCTATTGTCACTGGCACTTTTGGCGGTGTGGATTTTTTTCACTCAGTGCTGGGCGAGCTGTCGGACAAAACGATCCAGTCTGAAGTCCAGTCTCTTGAGGGAGTCATCAATGAGTCACAAAGTGGAACCCCCTCTGAGAGCTTCATACAGGACTTGCTCAACAAGATCCCCGAGGGACTGATTGGGGATAGCGACAATCAAGCCAACAAAATGGACGAGTTCAAAACCAAGTCACAAGACGCCAAGCAGCATAATCAAGATATCAGTCCACGTGAGCCTGAGGAGTGGACGCGGTATTTGGACGATGTGCATCAGCAAATTTACCCTGTTCTTGAATGGCATGACGAGCTCATTAAGTCAATCAATCGCGCGGTTGAAGAAATTCCAGTCTTGCCGGAGCTGATTGAACAGTTTCAAGAGCAGATCAACATCTTTGTCTTCTCCATTCTTGCACCCTATATCCTCCCGATCATCCAGCAGGTCAAGGTCGAGCTCCAAACCGGCTCCTCTGAAGTGATTGAAAGCAGCCGGGCACAGCAGCACGTTGTATTCAATGATGATGATTCCTCAAACCCCACCCACTCGATGCTCTCCAAAGATCATTTTTCGAACGTGCTGAACGAGCCGGCCGGCCGGATTGCATCTCGAGTAGTTAAATGGGCAGTGCCTCAGCTGATGGAGTGCTGGGACAATGAAAACATTGATATAGACAGGACACTCGACCGGATCATCACCGGAGTGTTCCATCACCCGGCTTTACGTCAATATGGTGAGGACGGAGCGTCGGATATACGCCAAATCATGTTCAGCACTGTGGAGGAGTGGTGGAACGGAAAAGATCAGGCAGAACAGGAGAGTCTTCGGGAGCAACTCTCTCGTGAGGGTGTTCGTGAGGGCAAGAATCACAAAGAAGGCGTGCATGATTCAGGACATGGATGCGGGAAGCCTCTAACACTCCATAGGGGTAAAAGTAGCCCCGAGGAGACTTATAACCCGAGCACCAGCGGGCTTGGTAAGATTGCCGCAGAGGCTGCGGGCGGTGGAGCCCTTGG